TCGTTTCTACCACTTTATGTAATACACAATGTTTAAAAATGAGACTTTTATTCAAATAAGATTAGGTTTTTGAAAAAAAAAAAAAACAAAACAAAAACGTTTGAAATAATAAAAATGTAGAATTTAAAATATATTCATTAATTCCTTAGAAAAAAATGTATGTATTATATATATATATATATATATATATATATATATATATATATATATATATATAAGAATATGATGTTTGTCTTTTTTTTGAATAAATCACATATGAAATATATTAGTGCTTTTTCTTTATGTTCGACATTTTTCGTGTTTTATTTATAAGAACAAATATTTTTCGTTTTATTCATATCTATTGTTTCTATCTTTATTAGTCTTCTAATCCTTACCATTCCTTATTCTCCTTTTTACCAAAATTTACTTTTTTTATCTTCCTTTGTTTTATTAGGTTACATTTCTTCTTCGTCTATTACTTTCCAGATCTTCCTTGCTTTCTTTTCCTTTGTTAACTTGCCTTCATGTTTTTTCGTCTTCCTCTTTTTTGTATTTTTCAAATGCTTCTTTTTTCTGACGATTATTTCTCTTTGCTACTTCTCGTTATATATGTATTCACTTTTCATAAGAAAGTATTTTATATTCAAAATTTCTCTCTCTTTCGTCATCTTTTTTTTTATAAAAGGAATAAGCTTTGTTTCTTTATATTTGCTCTTCTGTTTTCTAGATTACACCAGACTGTTTTTTTTCTATCGATACTCTTAAAATAAGCATTTTTGTCTCTCTTTATTTTTTTTTTCACACATGCATCATTAGTTTTGGTATAAATTATAAAAGAAACATTTCCTCATTGCCAGTAATGACCGCCATGATTAATGTGTGGTAATTCGAAACTGTTTTTTCCGCCATATATTTGTCTTTCCTGGAAACGTGTATTCAGAAATTATACTTCTAAAGAACAATAACCAGTTTCGCCTCTCATAAAACTGCAGTTGAAAAAAGCTTGTACCAAACATGCTTTTTTTATCCTCCCAACAAAATAAAAAAGAATCCTCGCATATGCTAGGCTATGAGGACCATATAAATAAATTATCATATGAATAATTACTATATGGGAGTAAAAAAAAAAGTCAAATAACAGCAAGTCTCCAAGGGCAGAAGCAGCAATCACAATATGACGTGCAGCAGTAGCAGCAGTCAAAATATAAAAGACAGCTGTAGCAGCAGCAGCTGACACGGCACTAATCTGCAGGCAGTTTAGGTTTAAGGCTGCAAGTTCACTACAGCATTGGTTCGTGAATTTGGTGACATAGCGATTGTGAGTTCAATCCCAGGGACTGGCAGCGTGTACTTGGACATGTTTCTTTTTAACCTCCCAACAGATTAAAAATAATCAACGCATATGCTAGGCTATGTAGACCTCATTAATAGACCTAGCATAGAAATAAATACAATATAGGAGCCGCTAATAAAGAAAGACAGGGAAGAGAGAGACAATGGCCCGTAAACTTCATTTATCGTGGTTGTAAAACGGTACAGGGAACTGGCCATTTTCCCAGCATCTTTAGCGATTGATATATAAGAGTTTCACTTGAAATCTGGGGTAAGTTTAAGTACATATTTAAGGGAAGCGGCCTCTTTGATAAGCGGAAATTCGAGGTCTATTATGTGATGATGGAACGTTACTTTGTTTGTCATTCGAGGTTTAAGAGTAATATTTTATAGTAGTCTTTTGTCCTTCAGTAAAACTGCTAATCTAGATTTGCTATTGTAGGTTAATGTAAAGAAAGAACAAACTTTCCTTACCTAATAACGAATGCATAATTTTAATCAGTCAGTGATATAATCGCTGTCATTAACAATTAGACAAACCCATTGTAAAGGTAATTTTCTATTCCTCATCGATGACATTCTGAAGACCTGAATTAACATCTTAATGGCATTAATGAAGACAACATTATATCGAAGGTGTGAGGTGGTCTAGTGAGTAGAGTGGTTGAAATCAAATTTCCCAATCTCATTAATTTTGGGCTTTTTTCTAAGTGTGGTCTTGCATTTTGATATCGGAAGATTGCAAATTTTATATTCAGCTAAGCTTCGCATTTCTGGCATGCGTTAACGTTTGACTGTACACGCCTGCGCTAAAGGTCTTTTCATGTTTGAATGCGCATCCTGACATGTCATCTGAAAATACTAACAATGTAATAATGTAATATAATCCTGAATATATATCCACGTACACCTCATATACACACGAACACACACATATATATATATATATATATATATATATATATATATATATATATATATATATATATATATAGTTTAATATATATTTAGATATTACATCGAAAACATGACAAAATAGCTACACAATTTCAGTCGTGCTTCGATGCGTATCATATGCATCTCATCAGGCGATTGTAAATTACTGGAGATTGAACGGTATATCCAGATTTAAAAGCAAAATACAAACTCTTTTAAGAAAAAAGAAAAAGAAAACAATTTACCTCATACAGATCATCATTTCGTCCATCTGTATGAGGTAAATTGTTTGTATCTCATTAATTGTAATTCACTTATATGCTCTATAATAAAAACTATATTGATCTATCTTTTGTGGATCAGTTTTAATATTTTTAGATTTTTATTAATAGGATCTATTTAGGTTTATCCCCTCGGATATATATATATATATATATATATATATATATATATATATATATATATATATATATATATATAACCTTTGTGTGTTTTTATTATGTCTGTAACAAAATGGGTATATAATAATGTCGTGTAATTTGAAGTTAAGGATAAGAAGAAAAAATCATCATCGTGTAATAAACAGCCACAGAGGTTCTTAGAAATATATCATATTTCTGAAATGCGATATATTTGACAAATAAAGTTGACGGTTAAAAGAAACTAGCAAAAATAACCATAAAATAAAAAAGGATGTAGTGAAGTTTTTTCATTGGTGTTTGTGTCGACTAATTAGGAACGAAGCAATTGTCTTCAATGAGGATTTTGTGTTGGGAGTTCTCTTCCTCATCTTTCCCTCTATCTCATCTTGCTGACGAGTAGTCGGCAATATTTCCCTGTTGGAAATTTTTAAAAGTTCCGATACAGACACCACGGATGGTTCTATTTATTACTATAAGCAAGCCTCTAGCATGGTGAAGTGCTGACTTCTGATATTCAGTGAGGAATTGAGGAATGAAGATGGTACGGCATTTAGGAATTGGCCTGAGGATAACTGGTGCGGCATACAACCAAGCCACGACTGCAGCCCATTCAAACACAAGCGCAAGCCACGGAGTATTTAGAGACAATGGCGAAATGCTACTTTACTAAAACTATCTCACCTAGAGTAGGTTAAAAACAGACTCCATGCCAGTCTTCTATATGTCGTATCTCTTCAGGAAATTTCCATAATTCCGTATTTTCCTTAACTCTACGTGTTGTCTTAACGCACCAATAGTGAGAAGCTCTAAGAACTGCTGAATATTTATTTATGTATAAATTACATAAAATATGGTACAAGGTCTAAATTTGGGAATGCCTCAGGCAGGTAATCACTGTTCTTAACTTTTGTCCCATTCACTGACCCAGTAACATATTTTTATAAACATTATGCCAAAAACATACAAAAACACATACATTCCACAATCACTAAAATAACGCGTTCTTATTATGCAATTCGAAACATAATACCTTATATTTATATACATGTTGATGGAGGGATAAAAATATACATAAATAAAAATATACATAAAAATATAGATAATTTTTATTTACATAATAATAACCGCATGATAAGAATTAAAAATATACAATGTTAGTGTGGGACCTTCCCCACGGGTAACATATAACAGAAAATTACCGATAAAAATACCGATGGAAAGTGTATAAAAAATAAAATAAAAATTAGAATAAGAAAAAGAAAAGACCGCTTCAGAAAACTATGCAGCTTTTCACCTAAAAGCGGGAATGAAAAACGGAGAATTTGGGGAATTACAAAAAGCGAAACGAGGACGATGGCATTAACTCCCTAATTAAGTTAACCAAATCAAGAAAAGACAAACAAAGAAGAAAACTGTTCCTACATTAGCTTAACTGGTTTGGACGCGCATGTCTTTCACAGAAGAATATGTCCTTAAACTAGTCAGCACGAGATGCCACTCGAAGTTAGCATCATTCACACACAACACTCATCCACCTCTCAGCAAAGTCCTCAGAGAAAAATCCGTCTCTCTCCACTCCGATCTTGACCTTCAGCTGGGGCTTGAATAACGTAGCCAGATGGTGGGAAGAGAGAGACAATGCCCCGTGAATTCCATCCATTCTCGTTGTCCATAGCAACATTTGCATCAAGGATGGCGAGCACAGGACATTTTGCTTCCTCATGTCCGACAAAGAGCTCACTTTACAGGGAACTGGAATCCAGAACAAAGAATAGTCTGCGCAGTATGCGGACAATATAGCCTTCAATAAGCTAGCATAGCGGGCATACGATGAGGCAGTAAAAGAAGGCGTACCAATAGACTCCCGCATTCCACTGCACCGTTTTCTGGCAAAATAACCATTACCGAGAATGCTTTACGAATTATCAGCTAGGTGAGTGATGATTCATCGTTAGTCAGGCATTATTCTCCGTGCGTCCAAAGAACATATGGAGCCAAACTCCCTTCCCTTGTCAGACCGAGCATCCCGAAGAGAACTTCGAGAACCACTCTCACTTAACTAACAGCCGATATAATGCCTGTCTCGCCAACGGCTGGATCTTAGAGTGGCTTGCCTGTATCCGAGAAAGAAACTTCAGCGCATGACGGCATTCGCGATGTCAAGGAGCACTCGCTTCGAGGCAAAAAGTTGACGTCCCCTCTCAGCAGGTTGAACGTTCCCCAAGGACGGGGAAGCTGCTTTGGCCTTTTCCTTCCAGAAGCTGCTATTCTCGGCAACGTGTGTACACATCCGACCCAGGAATTGTAACCGCAAAGTGTCGTGATGGGTTACATATCCGGTATTCCACGGATAGATAGATAGATAGATAGATAGATAGATAGATAGATAGATAGATAGATAGATATGGAGAGACTAAAATAAATCATAGATATCTAAAAGATGAGATCGCTACGTAGCAAGATAGTGGAAGAGATATATACCAACTGAGATAGATAGATAGATAGATAGATAGATAGATAGATAGATAGATATGGAGAGACTAAAATAAATAGATAGATATCTAAAAAATGAGATCGCTACGTAGCAAGATAGTGGAAGAGATATATACCAACTGAGATAGATAGATAGATAGATAGATAGATAGATAGATAGATAGATAGATAGATATAAAAAAGAGAGATCGCTACCTAACAAGATAGTAAATATATATATATATATATATATATATATATATATATATATATATATATATATATTTGGTTGGATAGACGGGAGTTTGTGACCCTGGGTTTCACGCTTTAGCGATCGTCAGACAAACTCTATCTATCCAACCAAATATGTTAGCTCTGTCTCTGATATTGAGCGCTTTCTAATAAGTATGCATATATAATATATAAATAATTATACGTATATATATATTTATTTATATTTATATACACTTTTCATACACACACACACACACACACACACACACACACACACACACACACACACACACACACACACATACATAGATAGATAGATAGATAGATATGCAAAACAGAAGTTCGCTACATAGCAAGATAGTAAAAGTGATATATACAAACTGAGATAGATAGATAGATAGATAGATAGATAGATAGATAGATAGATAAATAAATAACTCACAACAAAGGGACAGAGAGATGTTGAGATCTATACATATGTAGACATAAATAGGGAGAGGGAGTCAGCGAGAAATACATTTTGCAAGGATGAATCCAGTACCGTAAAAAACAGAATTACAATAATTAACAAACACACATAGAAACAAGCAGAAAAGACGACATGTATAATTGGTTTGCTTATGAAGAAATGGGGAATATGCAGAAGAAATAGTCTACGATGATACAAAATGGCACAAATTTCCCGAGGCTGCAAAAAAGTCAATTGGTAATGTAAGATACATGGAACGAACTCAAAAAAAAAAAAGAAAAAAACAATATTAAGCGAGGTGTGAAAGTTACTAAAAATAAAACCGAGACGAACTGATTGCACATTGATCAACAAAAAAGAAGGAAGAAAAAATCTTCTGTAAAATGAGAAACATAAAATCAATGGCGAGTAAATTAAAAAGACAAGGCATTCATTTCATTTTTTGTTGTTCAGGTGCTCGTCGTGAAATTGTTGATAAGCAGACATATTGGGTAAAATTCTTCGTCAATAATTATTAAAATGTGGGCATCATTGCGTCAATCATTTTAATGTACTTTGAATATTTTCTTTTCAAGTTTTTCCTCTTTTTTTTCAAATTACCTGAGAAGTGGAATAGGAAAAGAAATACCAGGAAAATATTTAATGAGAGCGCAAAACGGCAATGAGGGGTAGACAGAGACAAAACAAATTAAAAAAAGAATTCAATATAGCGTAATATTGGAACGCGTAAAATCAAAAAGTATATTTCGGGAAATGAGGAATTATAGTTTTCAGAGTGGCGAAAAGTGTGAATGAGTTGTGAACCACTGCTATAAAGCGGTCTTTCTCAATTACTACAAAATAACAAAATCAAAATGTTATGACGATAGATGTTTTTTTTTTAAAATCAGCATCACCCCATGCAAAGCAGTGAAAGAACAAAGACACAAGTGGTTACAGGGTATGGTAGAATTAAGAACAGAAGCATTGATAATGAGCAGGAAGAGGGGCAGAGTAGATAGTGATTGACATTGCATTTAAATTTTTACAGATTAACGTTGGCTGGAAAGAATAGAAGTGAGTTCCACAAGTGAGAAGTGCGAGAAAAGAAATTGTTAGCATAGAATTTACGGTTACATCTAGCCAGCTCAGCTGTAAGTTCAAGAAATCTCGACGCCAATTTAGAACTGCGCTTAAATTAAAAAAAAAAACAGATGAGACCTTATTGCTAATCTAGGACAGCACCTAAAATCACAAAATCGAGCTAGCATAGCGAAGATCACATCCGAACAATGACCATGGAAGTATTTATAGAAAAGACACAGAGAGGCAACCTTAAGGTGGTGGGTAAGGCACTTTGTCTTTACGATGATGTTCACTTTGCACAATCCATAATAGCCACTCAAGGTAGAGTGTTACAAAATCACAGTTTATGCGGATATTTGGGGAAGATAACGGTTAACCTTATGGTAGTGATCGGAGAAGCATCCTCTTGGAAGTCGTTTCCACAAAGCAGCTGTTTATGGGAAGCAGCTGCTCGATTGGAACATACATTTCAGTAAGGAATTATGAAGCTAATGAGGATGGTTCACTACAGAAGATAATTTCCAAGAAGCAGAAATCAAGAAGCAGCAAGGAATTTATTGTAAAGTTTAGAGAGAACAGGAGAACATATCTGAAGGTCTATTGCAGGGATACTATCAAGGTTTGGAGGGTTTCAATTTAGAAATGATAGCAGAAACCACAGACGGATTTAAATTCCTATCGCTCAATAGAAACTGAATTCTAGGTAGAAAATCGGGCTAATTGCTAAAGATGAGTCAAGAGTAGAAGTCATTTTACGGGCCATACATTCTGATTTATCAGTAGAAGATGTTAACACTTCAAACTGACTGAAGAGATGATAAAAGACTTACAATTATTTAAAACACTATTACGGAGCCACACGAACCCAAATTGTTCGAGCCAATGCAATTCCTTATTCTGTCAGCAAACAAGGGCATAACTTATTTGAGGAAACGTTTACAATTATTACACGCAAACAAAAATAGCCGTCTGTGATCGGATCTATCACGCTAGAACACCCAAAATAAATGATTCCTACGGGCAATAGCGGTTGAAAAGGCCGGGGTGAACCAAGGAGAAGATTGTGGTTTCATCTGATATTTCCGAAAAGGAACATAAACGTCGATGCCGGCTTTCACCCAAGAAGAAACCTTGTGGCATAATTCTCAGTAAGAAAGTTAAGAATATCAATCCAAGGGGCATGTCGAAGAAAGTCACTAAATGAATCCCAATCGGTACGCTGGTAACAGAAATAAGAATTATGAATAGGAGGTTCTTTTGTAATAGACGAAGCAAAAAAATATCAAAAGATACAAGTGCATGTTTCAAACTGCCAAGAAGACAGGTTTAGGATACTCGACTAGTGTTAGGAGTGTAGTTAAGAAACAAAGCACGTAAAAAAGAATATTGATATGATGTTTCTTAATTAATATATATATTAACCATAAGGTTAATATATATATATATATATATATATATATATATATATATATATATATATATGTGTGTGTGTGTGTGACGTCGTCCCCGGTCGCAGCGCCAACTGTGACGTTCTATCCTGATCTACCACGGCGCCAGTTGTGACGTGGCCGTTCAGGGTCCTATCCCGGTCACGACACCAGTTGTGACGTCCCTAAACAGCATCAATTTGACGTCTTCGCCGCGGCGCCAGCTGTTCGCTCCTCGCTGCTCCGTCCGGGTGTCGCTGCTTCAAACGTGACGTCCGCCTGTCGCGTCAGTCGTGTTGTCTCGTCCTGTGACGACCAACTGGCTTGGTATCGGTCGCGGCACCCAAATGTGACGTTCTAACCTTTTGGTGATTCGGGTGGGAATCTGGTTAGATTTGATATCAGCCTCGTCGTTCCCAACTCGCTTCCAACGCCTGGTTACCAAGGTAACTGCATTGATCTCCAGTCTGCCTACCCACGTTGTGAATTGATCTTAGACAGACGAGATCAAATAGTGGTTGCGGCCGTAATGCAAATTGAGTTCAACGGGGGTGATGACACACAAATATGCATAAAAGAAAATAAAATGAAAACTCAAAAAGTTCAAAGTATCAGAGGAAAAAGTTAACAAACATTATGTCTAGTTGTTCGATACATAGGACTGCATCTATCTCCCGACACGTCGTTTTCGCTAGGCAAGTTTTAACGCTTCAAGTTGTTTGCTCTCTAAGAAATTAGTGTTTAGGTGTGTCTTTGGACGAAAGTCGAAAAAACTTATTTCGGTGGTCTGGTTCTAAGTCGCTCTTCAAAATAATTGTTCTTGGTTGAAGAGGAGTCCGAAATTTTGCGTGAATCTTGGTCAGCTATCTTGAGGCGGCTTCAACTCTGGATACTCATCTTTGCCGCCAGGGCCCGAACTGATTTCTGCCTGTTGGGGCCTGGCTTTTATTGACGCCGACAAAAACCGGGTTGGGTCTGTTGGCGTCGGGGAGTTCCTCGATCATTCTAAATACATATCCACCTCTTTTATTTCTGGTTAGGGATTTTCCACTCTTTTCCATTTTTGGTAACTTTTTTTCACTCCCACTTTCTCACCATGCTTCTGAGGGGCGTGAACTGCCCTCCCCACTTCTTCGTAGCAGATTCTCATACTTATACTCTGGATGGGGGCGTCGACAGCCTTCTTCATGCGTCACGTTATCACTCTCGGCCAATGAGGTCTTGGTCGGGTATCTTTCCTCCTCCTTCGTGCGTCACGTGATCACCACTTGACCAATGACGTCTTAGTCGGGCGTGAACAATCCGCGGCTTAGTTTCGGAACAAAATATACCTTGCTTAACTAAAAAATTAATTATCTCTTCTCTTTCCTTTTTCTTCCTTTCAAATCGCCGTTATCATGAACGGATAAAATGACAACTCTTTGTTCAACACGTGGCGTTTGTCAAGTAGTTTATCGCAAATTCATCAGATGGTTGGTTTTCCGACATGGCCTCAGAAAAGAATTTTCCCCAAGTTTTCTGACGTCTCCAAGGAAGAAAGAAAAACATTTCTGGTTCTATTCATTTTCCTTCGGTTCATGTGTCTGATAACAAAATTTTATTATCGCAGGGCAACGTTGTTTTGTTGAAAAGAATTTAGTTAGCGAGACTGCTTGTGTGGGATTTGAATTTTCCATATCTAACTAAGGCTCTGTAGCTACACCTGTGTTTTGTCAATTATAAAAATTAACGTTTTCAAGTGGACTTTCTTTGGCGAACATTTCTTGATAACACAATTCCATTCGCGCAGGCCAAGTAGGAAAATCAGTCAACGATTACTCGTAGGTGGCCTTTAATTTTCATATCTGTACAAAGTCCTTTTAGTCGCCTGTTTCTCGTTACTTATCGAAATAGCATTTTCACTTGAATTTTTCCTGGGCCAGTGGTCCAGCCATTCGTTTACGTACCTAGATAACATAGCCGTTATCAAAACACATCTGGTTCCTTCTTTCTTTTCCTCTTCTTTTTTTTTTACTCATAAATTCCCTGTCATTCTAATGACACCCTTTTTCACTTGTTACTTATCAATATTTTCATTGTCTCTTAGGCCATGTGTGTGGCTGTTTTATCACCTATGATCCGTCTCGCATTTCTTTCTGCCTTCTTTTCTTTCTTTATCTTTCTCTGCCTCGTAAATGGTGCCACACACACACACACACACACACACACACACACACACATATATATATATATATATAAATGACAAAACGGCTGTCCAGTGCTTTCTGTTGAAGTTTCTTTTAGACTCGATGCATTACTTAATTACGATTATCTCAAATACTCTTAATAATTTATATCACTTATGTATCTTTGCTTGAACCGGCTTCTAATACTCTGGATGGAGCGTCTTGGGGATAGTAATCGTGGCTCGTGGGGGCACAGTCCTATGGGTAAGTGAAACCACGGAATTTGTGCAGAGCGGCGCTATATCGAGTTTAATTCGTTACCTTTTCATCACCAAGGCCCGTTCGTACGTTTGGTATGAGGCTTACGTCGTATTGTAACGCCCAGAGTTCAATTCTTGGTAGCGGGTAAGCACTGCTAATGAGTTACAAATATAGGACGAAACGGCCGTCCAATTCTTTTAATATTCTGTTGAGTTTTCTTCTAGACTCGATGAATTACTATATATATATATATATATATATATATATATATTAAACTTTTTTCTCCAACTGTACTATGGTTGAAGTGGAACGAACTCAGGTGCTTTTAGTGTCTTTGTAATGATTCTCTGGTCTCCCCAGGAGCGTTTACTCTGCTAGAGTTCGCCATAAAATAATTTATTTGGGAATAGTTTCTTTGTGAACAATTTCCTTTGACAAATATATGAAGATATGCAATAGCTTTAATATTGGACACTTCAGTATGAGAGATATTATGTGTGTCGTAGATCTTG